CGAACGTTTAGCCAAAACTTGTTTGCTTGCATGTCGAAACGGACTGGCGGCTCTGAACATGACGGTCCGGCCTTTGGGAGTGCGGGAAGCTCAAATGGCCGCCAAATAGAGGCAGCCAGCACCGCCGTAGGGTGCAACGAATATGCAGCAGAGACGACAGAAACGGCTGAAGGCGAAAAAAAACTGCAACGAAAGCGCGGAGAAAGTTTGCCAAGACATTTAACAAACTTTTATATATCCATTTGTGTATATGATCAGCGCGCTGTGCGCTTAATGTGCAATAAGCTGAAAAAGAGCGCAAGTGGGCAACAACAACAACAAAAACAACAACAACGACAAAAATAAGAGTAAGAAAGCAAAAGTGAAGCTGCGGCAATGAATTAGTGCCAATGAATTAATGAAAGTTTTGTGTCATTGAATATGCATGTTGTGTGTTGCTCGCGGAAATTGATACAAAATATTTGTATCTGGTTTTTCTGCAGACCATGGAGTTGGCGTTTGGCGTTAAAGGCGACTTTAATTTCGTTTTTGTTTTTTTTCTCTTCGTTTTTGCTTATAATGTGCAACGTTGCGTGTGATTGACATTTGTGTCATAGGCCCGAGCATTCAAGCAAACACACACACACACACACATACACACACACACACACATACACACACACACTTATACGAGTACATAAGTACACATATGAGGTTTTGTAATGGCTCAAGCAGGCAAGTAATTGTAGGTATGGATGTATCCACTTACTCGTATATTGAATCATATTTCATAACATTTAATTTGACACGATTAAATAAGTTAGGCAAAAAAGATACGAGTATACACAAAATGACAGTCAAGACGTCTAAGCCGCTTTGAGTGCGGCTGCGTGTGTTTGTCTGTTTGTGTGGCATTGTTAGTCTCAACATTTGTTTGTCAATTAGACAAGCGAAGCCAGCAGGCAGCAAACAATAACCCTACCCACTCGTGTATGTAATTTATTTTTAATTAAAAGTTCTTAACAAAGCCGAAACATGCGAATCATCGAAGCGCTTCGCAGATATTTCTCTCCACCCCATTCCTCCCTGCCTCCTTCATACCTAGATAAATACAGTATTTATCAAAGTGTATATACCACGAGTATATATGTACATTATTGTAAGTATGTATCCATGCTTAGGTTCCATTTTGTTCTTTTTTCACGTTTCATTTTCTATTGTTTTCGCAAGACTTTTTTTCATACTACAAGTATCAAGCTAACTATAGACAGTGTGGCATGCAATTAAGACTAAACTGGGAATTAGTTGGTTGCTAGTATTATAACTAGCCGGAGCCGGAGAATCGCAAACAAACGAACAATAAACCTTTCGTAGAAGCCCAGATGATTTGTGGATGTTAAGGCTCATTAGCTGCCGCATAAACTTTGATTCGCAATCGCAACTTAGAACTTTTTTTCTATATATATACTGCAACACAATACACCAAAAGGTGTTTTGCAATTAGCTTTGGCTCTTGTTCGACCGATGTGAGCTGAATAAGCGCCCATTGTCGGCCAGAGCTGCGACGACACACTGGCGACAATCCACCATTTGTTAAAAGGCGGTGCGGCTTAAAAAGAAGAGTACAGTGGAAGCATTTTAAAGGTAACAAAGAATGTAACTGCCTCATGACTGATTGATGAACCAAAAACCAAAAGTCAATTCAAATCAAATCAATAATCAATCTATATCATTATTAATTACTCTAACAAAAAATTATTTTTATTTAAAGAAAATAGTTTTTGTAGTTTAATGATTTCGGTTTGTTTGACTTTTCAAAAATTGCGAACTTATTACTTATTTTTTTAAATGTTATATATACCTTTATATATACCTTTAGACTTTGTGCTGTGAATTGGGGTCTTAGCCAACGAAAAGGATTCGTCATTAGATATTATTTATGGATTCGCCTGTTATTGATCGGCTATTATGTCTTTAAGAATTTCTGATTATTAAATGATAATCATCAATATAGAATTTAATTTAATTAGGTAAAATAACGATTTTATTGCATTATTGGGCAGAATAGATTGTCCCACAAGGACCCACATATCCTACTAGTCGACAGTGTTATGGGATCGAAAAGTTATGGCTGGTCTTTCAAAATGTGTCACGACTGTGGCCAGAGTGAGGTGCCAGTGAATGTACGAAACACAGCTATATGTTTGGCTCAGGGTCTTATAAAAAAAATATAGCCGTATATTGTATACCGTTCACCGGCAAATGTATATTGTTTTTGATTGTAAGCTTGTACTACTCAAAACACAGACTATATGGCCAGAATAACTTTCTCTAAAGCAAAGTTGCTCTTAGGCTATATTAACTGTAGTATTCCCGATAATAAACAAAAGAAAACAACCACCATTTGTAGCACATTTTTTGGCATTAGTCATAGCATTCATTTGACAATTTGATTAATCAGCATGTCGATATTTAGCAGCAAACTTTTGGCGCATTATGTAAGTATAAGCAGCTTAGAATTTGTCACCGATGTCGCGGCCTCAGCCCCGGCCCGGCCCCAGTCAATTTTCCAATTACGATTTATAAAAAGACTTTGCACTTACCGAAAATGGTTGCCTGCAGCTTAGCGCATTACAAGAGGCCATTTAAAATGGTTGGCTGGTGCTCGTTGTATGGACAAAAGCGAACCAAAAATCGTGTCTATGACCAAAATCAAATTAAAATTCCACAACGCATGCCAAGCAGACATCAGCGACAGCAACAGCAACGCGGTAACAGAATAGTTAATGCCAAGAAGTCATTGTACAAAAGAGTGCGTCCAAAACAGACTGGTCAATACCCTACAGCCTCTATCCGTCCATCAGTCCAGCCATCCGTCCATTCGCACTGAAGCCGTCGACGTGACGAGACGCCCAAATGGGGCGCTATATTGTACAATACGGCCAGACCGAAGACGACGAAGCAACTCAAGCATTGCGCAGGCGCAACGAAGCCCAAGCCCAATGGCCAAAAAAGCAGCAGCAGCTAGATTTGTCGTTTTCCAGCTGAGTTCTAGTCGCTGCCGCGCTTGAGATGCCAGGCCTAACCTTGGCCTAAACTGCAAGCCAATGAACTAAATGTTTGTGAAAAAACAAAAAAACACCAAAGTACGCGGCAAATTGTTGTTTGTTTGTTTGCTTGCTAGGCATTGTACTCTGTGATTTGTTGTTGCTGCAGTTGCTGTTGGTGTCGTACTTTTATTTGGCCGTTTTGTGCGTCTGTTTTCGTCGTTTTTATTGTACACGCCGGCAGCGTCTCAGCTGTAACGTGAAAATTAAACAATTGTGCAACAATCTTTGCAATTGTTCGTACGATGAATCATGTACTCGCAGTTGCGAACAAATGCCACCCGGCAGCAACAGTAAGTAGTAGAATAAAATTGGTCAAATTGTTGGTTGGGCAGCGATTGCCCAACTTTGCGCAAAATGCTTCAAATTAGAGAAGTATGTACATACACATACAAGTATGTAAGTGTTTGTTTTTGTTGCTCTTGTTGAGAGTAATTTTCTGCATAAATTGTGACCGATGGGCATATACAAGTACATACATATAGTATATTTCTTTATTTAACGTTCTGCTGCTCTGAATTTGCCCTTAATGTGTGTGTATTACAAAATCTTTGATAGAAGAGCCAACTAATTGGCCTTTGGCCACGGCCGTGTCCGAACCGAATCGTGAAACAGTTTGGCCATGCGGTTACTAGTTTAAAGTATTTCTAGGTTAGGAAGCGCATTGAAGCGCGCTGATTAATGGCACAAAGAAACGCTTAGCACCTGCGCTCAGAGATGAGCGCAAACGACCCACAGCAACAATAGCAACCACAGCCAATCTATATAATATGTATACAAGTAGTACGAGTATACTCGTATGCATATAAAAGTTACAACAGAGCGCCAGAGCCCGCACAAAGCTCGAAAACCTAAACGGGTTGTATACCTGCCCACACCATCAGCTGACGGCATTAGCATCGGCTCTGTTTACCCCGCACTCTGTTTATTTATCAGTTGAGGTTTGTTTTTCTTGTACGCGTCACGACTCGAGCTTAAGCGCGGCGACTGCCATCAAGCTTGCGCCCCATTATACAAGCCTACAGTGGCCACATTTATATTAATGATATTTAGTAACTGAGAATACTTTTTCGCGCCCACAAGTTTGATGAATTATACAAGTACGAATATATGAGGAGTATCCCCAGCTCAAAGTTGTTGCGAAACGTAGCTTTGCAAACTTGGCCAAGATGCTCTTTTTTTTAGGGAAACAAACGATGGGAACATATTCAAACGTATTCAAACATAATGTTCCTGTAAAGATTTGTCAGAAGTTGGAATCCTTTATGTCTGCAGGAATCGAAAACTGAGTGTGCTCTACTCAGTTCTGTAAAATACGAGACCATTAATAACAAAATTTCAATATTTTTTACAAATTACCACCTTTTATTCTGTCCCGCCGAAACAATTTGTAATTTATGAATTATTTAGATAAGTTTTTCTTATAGTTTGTGAAGACTTTTATTATCTGTTTTGACTCTGAAGTACGTTTATGTTGGAAACTAACTTACTTTTTGAGAAAAATTAAAATTTGCTCGCGCCTATTATTCTGTTCAGGTATATATACAAGTATGTATATATTCTGTTTTCATGCTGCTCATCATATGGATAATTTTCTAATTGGGGTACACAAAATAGTACCGAAGGGAAAAAATCAATATGAGCTTAATTTAAGGAAATTAATTATCAGACTGTCTAAAATATGGCTCGAAATTTATTAATTGGGGATTAGATCATGAATAAAATAATCTATAGGTAGCTGTACAAGTGTGTATGCATAATTATGCACGCTATAGCTTGAAAAATAAAACAAAAGCTGCGACTGAATACAATAAAACGAACCACTGTGCAACAGCGATTGGCCACAGCCATAAATCTCATACTTTGCATAAATTGCTCGCCTCTGACTCAATGCTATGTACTTTGTATTTCCAGATGTTGTTGCCGAGAAACCCACCACTTACCGTCCTTCGGGCAGCAACCGGCCTTCGACTGCGCCCCAGAACTCTGCGCAGGATCGTGAGCGCAAGCTAATGAATGTCCTAGCAGCTCGTCGAAGCGCCTTGCACCGCGGTGGCTTTCGCACCCGCATAGGCACCACAGGACGCAGTGCAACATCGCCAGCAGCAGCGGCCACTATAGAGAGCACCTCCAAATCACCCACAGATCCCCGTTCCGTGTGCATTCGAAACTGCACGAAGAACTTCACGCGGCGCACGACGGCCAGTTGTATGCGCCAGTGTGCCAACTTCACGCGAATGGCAGCAGCTGCAGCTGCGAGTGCCAATATAGAGGGCGGAAGCAACAAGAGCACCAACGTGGTGGTGCGACCCTCCAGTAAAGGAGGTAATGGTAGTGGTGGTGCGGGTGCGGGTGCGGGTGAGCGCGACACCAATGAAATACTTCTCAGCGACGAGTCATCACACGGGCTGTTCGTTGTGGCAAAGGAGCAGAACGATACATTGAATCACATACCCGATGCTACCAAGTCAGCCTCCATAGCTGGCGGTGTCAAGCAGCGCCAGCGGGGCAAGCCAGCAGTGACGGTTGCCCCCAGCTCCGTCGAAGAAGATGATGAACTGCAGCCTTATGTTTATTTTGGGGCCAAGCTACCGCCTATCAAGCCAGACGCACTAACCATAACTGAGGTGGACAGGGAGAATGAGCATCCACGGGTCCTTGAGATTTCTGTGTCTATGCAGGATAGGACCACAACATCTACCACAACAGAAGCGTCTACGCTGAAGCCCACGGTGTCAACCCGTCGCCCACTTAGTGCTGTAGAGCGTAGTCGCAGTCGTTACAAATACCATATGCGGGAGCGGGGACTTGCGGCGACACCACCGCCTGCAGCACCAGCACCACCGCCAATTAGTCGCACACGATACACGGGCTCAGGCAGACCCACGATCGGACTAGGTGAAAGCTCGGTAGAGTTGAAACAAACGGATGTAGCATTATCGAAGCCGACGGTGGTGCGCAGAGTGCCAGCGAAACCTGCAGTAGTTTCTTCAACGCCGCTCATCATAACAGTGTTGAGTGCAGAGGAAGAGACAGCAAGTTTGCCTGCCGAGATACAACCACCAGAGGCGTCAACAACAACCACCTGCACTAGTTCGACAGAGAAACCGACCACAACCACTCGAAGAAGCACAACGACAATCACATCGACGACGACAAGCACAAGCACAAGCACAAGTACAAGCACAGAATCTACATCCACAAAAACCACAACCACCGAAAGATCAACCATTCCAACCACTACAACACCAAGCAGCCACATATCTACGTCCACTGCAACGAACCCTAATACTGGAAAACGCAAGACTATTATCGAGGAGGACACAGAACGACTGCGTGCGCTGGGACCCTCATTAACGCAGGAGATAAACATTGAGGACCAGAAAAATCTCATTATTTTCTGCAATAATACCGTAGACTGTGGCTCCACGCCACGCACCCAGGTGTCTCATACCACAGACTCCAATTCGAAGATCCTGCGAACTACTGTGCTCACGTCCGTTCGATCCACTGTGCATCCTCGTACATCCACCTCCACTCCGGCAGCTCCTTCCAAAATCTTTGTCGGGGTTGTGGAGACAACGAAGGACGATTTGGCAGCTGGAGTTCAATGGGTGACAGTTTCTGCTCCCACAAACCTTGACATTAGCTCCACGGCTGTATCTAACGAGCGCGACGTCGACATGGAGATGCGTCGCATGAATCTCGTCACTCTTGTGCTAGTGGCAGTGGGAGTGATACCGCTGGCCGCCATTATTCTCTACTTGGTGCGGAACTATGTGGTGCGACGCCGTGCCAAGCACAATGAGGTCTTCGATGTGTGCATTACAGACCAGCAACCCATTAGTCCCGTAAAGAAAGTTGACTCCAAGTATCATCTGGATGAGGAGGACGAGGTTGATCATCAGCACATGCATCCACAATCGCAGCCCAAGTGCATGACACAGTCGCGCGATGCCAATCACAACCATCGCTATGTCGATGACAAAAGTTCGCTGACCAGCGAGTTCCAAGAGTTCGAGCGCAGTAATATTCGCCTTAAGAGTCTGCTCGGTGAAGGAAACTTCGGTCAGGTGTGGAAGGCAGAGGCGGATGATTTGAGTGGACACTTTGGTGCCACGCGAATTGTGGCAGTAAAGACAATACGAGCATGCAGTGCCCAGGTCAGCCTGAAGGACGAGGCCAACATTATGCGCAAGCTCGGGTCTCATCAGAATGTGGTCACCCTCCTGGGCGCGTGCGTAGAGAGCGGTAAGTCATCTCCAACATTGGAATGATACTTCTCCAACTATAATATCGCTTTTAATAGAACCTCACATGCTGATCATGGAGTACGCTATGCGGGGTCGTCTATTATCTCTGCTGCGAGCTGCTCGCAGTGCCACCAACATATTGCCTGCATCGGTGCCCGGCGGCCGAAGTCTAGCGCCATTGTCACCGCGCACACTTGCCGGTTTTGCCCTGGACATAGCCTGCGGCATGGAGTATATTGCAGAGCGAAGGGTAAGGGGAAATCATAGAGCATTTCAAAATCAAATGAAGTAGGTTTCAAAATTTTCCAAGAGAACTCGATGAACTATAAACTAGATGTACATCTTATTATGTTTGCCATTCTTGATCATAATTGGTAACTGTTTACCTGATTATAGAAAGAATCTTCCAAAATCAATTGATTCAGATTTTCTCAATTAATTTGCATCTTTTTTTTGAAGATTGTCCATCGAGACTTGGCCGCTCGCAATGTCTTGCTGGACCACAACGGTATGTGCAAGATTTGCGACTTCGGCATGTCGCTGGATCTGGACGCAGAGCGACTGCGCAAGGAGCAGGAGAAGAACGCAGCCAATGATATGCTGCACAGCAATGCCCATAAGTTCAGGTTTGATTTTGGTAGTCGATATATACTGCAGCACTGGCAGCATACGTTCGGACAGGGCCATAGTCAGACGCACGGCCATTGCTCCAAAGAGCACTCCGAGAAAAAGGCGCATGGCGGCCAAGACACCATAGGGAAGAAGCATGCGCTGCCCATACGTTGGATGGCGCCAGAGTCCTTACAGCTCCACCTCTTCACCACGGAGACAGATATCTGGGCCTTTGGCATAGTGCTGTGGGAGATCGCTACATTAGGTTTGTATTCCCTGAACTCTGCTCCTGATATGGTTGGCTAAAACACATACTCCCCTCACAACAGGTTCCACGCCCTATTCCCATCTTACGGGTCGAGAGGTCATTCGCCGAGTGCCTCAGGGACTGCGCCCTGATCTGCCCAAGGAGAGCCGGCACGAGTTCTACAACTTGATGTCGCGCTGCTGGCACAAAGATCCACACATGCGGCCGTCGTTTTCACAGTCACGTCTAGAGATTACGCGCTCTCTACACAAGTGGGTCGATGACGATTCCGCCGCGTCAGACTACATGGACGTGAGCGGTTTCAGTGAGGATCTGGAGCACGGTGTTGTCTACTTTAACCACCGCATATCAGAGTTCGAGTGCGAAATATGACGATGACTGACTCACCCCCCTCCAAAGCTACAGTAACACCTCTTACACGTACCACCCATTCCATCGCCATTGCCCACCAACTATTATACGAGTACATACTCGTATGCATGTATGTCGTATAGCATCATTCGATCGATCATCGATTCGCACACATCACTCACAGCACATCTCTAGAAATGAATCTCGTGCTATTTTCGAAATTCGCGTGCTTGTCGAGCAGTATTAGTATTACAAGTATTTGTATCGTTTCCGCTTGCATCGCGATAAGCCAGCGATTTCTTTGTAAATATTCACATACATATGCGTTGCACAGCAAATATTGTTTATTTTGTAGAGATAATTTAAATACTGGATGCAACTTGCAGCTTATATAATCATCACTTAGTTCTTCTAGTCTGTATCTAAAATCCATTATTTCAAATTTAGTTGCAATCGTTACTGTATTTAATTGAGCATTGAGCTCACTGCACCCTAAACTGGCACACACTCTATGTATTTTTGTGATTGTTCGAGTGCATCATGTAGGATGTAATTTATGTATTGATATAGCTTTAGGATTGTACAAATAAATTAATTCAAACCGAAATACAATAGTTATGTTCACACCAAACGTATGGCTTTTTATTTGGCTATTTATCGAGTCTGAACCGCCTTGCAGTACCACTATATGAGGAAGCATTTCCTTCCACATATGTATATTAATTAGGTATTGTAATATAATCTTGCCTTAATAAATTTGATCGAGTTTGGAAATAGGTAACGACCAGGTCACGCTATTTTCCTCGCGAATTCTGGATATTTATGTTTTAGATGAATATTTATATATGTATATTATTTCTCTTGTATTCCCTTTACCCGCGACCTCCGCCACAATCATGCCTATGACTACTATAAATTAACGACTGATTTCTACTAAACTTCAGATTATTGAAATTCCAAATTCGGTCGGAATAAATATCGTAGTTTACAAAAAAGTTATTGGTGCTGAGAGGGAAAAGATTTAATAAAATTGCAGAATATGATTTAATAGGTCTTACTAATTAGGTAAGGAAATGCAAAATTAAATTACATCTTAGGAAATAAATAAAATTTGTTTTTTATGTATGTTTGATTGGTTGATATAAGAGCGATATGCTATAAAGCAGTTGTTTTATGTACAAATATGATTATAAAATTCTCATAAATACTATACAAGCTGCTTTCCAAAGTAAACAGGACTTTTTGAATCTAGCGCCCCCTGGTGGCGCTATTTATATGTCGACTGCTGCGTTAGAATCTGCTATCTTTATCGATTGTCCAGTGAGAATTTCCTGACATTTCATCGATTGGAAGTGAAGGTATTGCGTTTTAAGTGTCAGTATGTTTGTGTTATCGGTGCGAAAATGATTTATCATCGATTTATCGCATTTTGACCGAACATTTAGGCTTACGAAAGGTGTGTGCACGGTTTGTTCCGCACAAATTGACTGATGACCAAAAATTGCTCAGAATCGATCGACGCTTGTGACCGATTATTTGACCAAAAATCACATTTTAACCATTAACCACTCGCCGTATTCACCTGATATGGCACCGTGCGACTTCTACCTTTTCGGAAAAAATCATTTGCCCATGAAAGGAAAGCGTTATGCAGACGTTGAGGCCATTCAAAAGGCTTGCACCGGCATACTGGCGGCCATACCGGCCAACGAGCTAAAACACTCGTTCGACATGCTTTTGGATCGTGCAAAAATCTGTATTGAAGCAGAAGGAGACTATTTTGAACAAAATAAATTGATTTTGCCGAAAAAACTATTTGTTCTGCTTCTTTTTTAAAGACCTTTTTACTTTGGAACACTCCTTGTATAAGTATTAACGCTTTCGTTTTCAATCGTATTGCTTGGGCTAATTTTATACCAAAATTTAAATTCTTAAGGAATGGCTCCAAACATTAGACCATCTATAGACGGTATCAAGGAGAGCTTACTTACTTTTTATAAAGTTGAAACTTTATCAAATAAAGGGAAAAGCAAACTAATAAAACAAAAATTGCATCTTAATATTCATTTAAAACATTATTATTACAATTGTAATGCAAATTATGAAACCATTCATTATAGCCTGTACGCAAAAGGGGACATGGCTATATCGACTCGGCTTGTCACCCTGATCAATAATATATATACTTTGTGGAGTCTGCCACGCCTCATTTTGCCTGATACGTGCATTCGCAAAAAACTAGTATACCCTTTCACTCTTTGTGTACAGGGTATAAATGTGAAGAGTAAACCTGAAAGTGTAGTTGATGCTTTTAAAATCTTTGGAACAAAATCTAATTTTTCTCAAATGGACTCCTTGATGTTTATATTATAGATCGCTTAAAGTTCTAATAATACAAATATTTTCAGCTAAAATTTTAATATAGCACTTAGTTCCTAATAAATATTTACAAAGCAAATAACTCAAGGTTTCAAATTCAAATTTTCCGCGTAACGGGGAGCTGCCAGTCGGCTTGAGATCAGCTTTAAGTGAACAGCTGGGCAACAGTGTTGCATTTGATGGAGAAAAAAGCTTGAAAGCTGTTTGTTTTGAATACGAATATGGTGGCAACGTTTACTGGTTCCATTTTATGGTCGGGTGCTGCCACTTAGCTTATGTGTTTCAGCTTCTAATCTGTTAAAATGATCTTGTTTATAAGATTTAAGTAACAAGTCTATAAAGAACAAACTTATTTTAGTAAATAAAAATTGACGACAATCCACCTTTTTAATTTCTTGTTTATATACAATTTAGGTCTTTTATATTTGTAAGTATAAAACATAGTTTCTATGCTTATTCTTAAATTTATAAATGTATTCAAGTATACAAATAAAACGGTTTAAAAGTGCTGTAAAATTAAAAAGCTATTATTATCAACTGTAAACTCACTATTTTACTTTCTGGAGATATGAAAAAGTGTTGCTTGACTTATCGTAATTTATTTTGAGCAAGTCTTTATAAAAGCAGGAAGAAGTGTTTTTTCCTCATATCCGTACAAAGTTTATTCTTTTTAAAATATGTTTATTTATTATTTAACTTTTAAAGAACTGAGGAAGGAAATGGGTAATTTAGCAAAAAGTAGCTTTTTTACTAAGGCGTACTCGTATTTCCTAATTACATAATTAAACATGGTAAAGAAAGGGAAGTACTTACTACTGCATGCGTGCTGAAAGTTTGTTAAAGCAATGCAAAATAGGCGAAATATGCAAAACATGCAAAATATGCAATATATGTAATTTGGAATTAGTCAAGTAATTTATTGCAAGTGGTTTTTATGGATGCCTGTGGCGGAAAAGTCTTGTGGAAATGCAAATGTGTCATGTTGGCGTCGCCGTTGAATCGTAGATTGATGACGTTGCAGGAAAAAAGCGTGAACGATGCGGTAATGGTTAATGGCCATAAAGATAAAATGCGTAGACGCTTAAACGGCGTACAAGGCACAACAAAATGAACGCAATGCGTTGAAATGAAAATTTAGCATGCCGATTTGCCACTGTGATTACCAAGAAAGTGTGAAGAAAATTTTAAGTGGCAATGCCACTGAATGCCACAATTGAAAGTCAGCCACAGTGGTGGGCAGGTGCGAATTGCCTCCACACTTAACCGCTTCAATTAAGCTCAATAATAAATAAAAAGGAATAAAACTCACAAAAGCGAAACGACAAAGGCAGGCGGCTGCTGCTACTTTAACCATTGTCGATCATTAATAGAGCAATAGCCGTTGTCAAAAGTGGCAACAGCTAAAGTAGCCAGCAAGTAACAGTCATAAAGATGACGACGAGGGCCACTCTGGAAAACGAAAGTGTCTGGCCTCCAGGCCTCCAGGCAGCCAGCGCTGTTAAAATTAATTTATGTTATGGGCTGGGGTCAGACCTCGAGCCAAGTGGCTAATCATAGTCAGCCCCAATGACTACCTGCAACGGCAATGAAATTGTCAAAGTGTCGGTTTGTCGCTGCTTTGTACACGTAGATGCCGCCAGGCATAGCGAACGGCTTTGTGTTTAGGCCAGGAAGCGATGCTTATTGATTAGAGTTCATAATAAATAAGCAGTAGTTAATTAAGCGATTTGGTAGCTGATTTTGATGGCCTCTTGGCATGCAAAAAGTTCGCATGCTTCCGTTCAGTGTCTGCATTTTGTTTGCGCTTCCTGACCTAGTCGTTGTATGTGGGCGTGACAAATTTCAAAGCGACCGCCTGCCAAAATTTAAAAGACTTCAGACACGAACTTCTTCGTTTATTTATGCAAGAAAAAGGCAGTCGTCCAAAAATATACATACACTTTTCACTCAATTTAATTTCCGCATTACGTGCCGGCGTTTACCACATGAAAATATCTATCGTTTATATTTAAATCTATGCCAAAGTGCCTTAGACTCGTTAGCAGTGTCTAACGGTTCATTGAACCGCGTGTGGTAAATAAAAGAAAGAAGCAAGTAATTACTTAGGCAATTTAATGGAGGCACGTCGATGCGCCAAATTGCAGGTGGTGGCAGTAGCACCAACAACAACAACAACAACAACAAGTGCCGCAACAGCTACCGACTGTGGCCAGAACGTCTGCTGAAAGCGTCAAGGCGGCAGCTGCCTGGCTGCGCAGTTGACGGCAACAGTCGCATTCGCCAGAGTCAGCGTCAGCGTCAAGCCAAACAGTCTCCGGCGAGTGTTGAAAGCGTTCAGACGTTCCACCAGCTCAAGCGCAAGAGCAACTGCAAGTGGCGGCAACAAACAGCAGCAATAACCATAACAACAGCAGCACGATTGCAGTTTTCTTTTAAATGCTCCCTTTTGGCAGAAATGTGGCAAGCAATTAAAAAACTGAAGCTGCAAATTAACGCGTGTGCCTGAGTGTGCGTGTGTGTGAGTGTGCTTATGCGAATTTGTTTGCGCCGTGCAACAACAACATCTGAAAGCGCCAACTAGCCATAAAAAGTGAAAATTAGTTGCAAAAGTGGAGCTGCCCACGGTACAATTCTCGCGACTTAGCGCCGCAACAGGAAATAAAAACCGCAGATATTGAGGTGAATTTTTCTTTAAGATGGCCACAAAAAATTAATCACAAAACTACAAAAGAGTCAAACGAAAAAAATCGAAAATGGAATTTTTATGCATTTCGAATTTGTGTTTCAGCCAAATACGTGAAATGGAAACAACTTTCTAAAAGAAAAAGAAAAGAATAATAAAGAAACAAAAACAACAGCACGCTGGCAACGACGAGCCAAAATTTGAATTCTTTTTATTCTTTACGCCTCAAGAAATTGTGTCAGCTCTTTAGGGGCCGCAACGAGCTTTTTAGTGTCTGTGTGTGTGTGTGTGGGCTTGTGTGTATGCGTATGCGTATACGTATGTGCGTGTCTTTTTATGCCGTTGTTACCGCCTTTATTGCTTTTAATCGTTTGAGCGCTCGCACATAATCACAAAGTCTTTATTTAGTGCGGCAAGTTCGTCGCCTCAGTCTTTCGCTTGAGCGGCCGCAGGGCCGGCAAATTGAATATGTCGGCAGCATCTACATAGTCGGATACAAAGGTGCCTCTATTTATGCATTGTTGAGAAACGAGAAATCGATTTTTCATTAGTCGAATGTCTGGGCGACAGCTGCCATTGCTCAGGCCTCTGCCGCTGCCGCTGCCGCAGCCTCTAGTCGTTCTGCGAGTTCGCTTACTAGGTTAGTCGGTTAGCTGCAGCGAGCGCAACTTCTCTCTGCTAATAGGATTCTTAGTGCGACTTTCTGTTGCTGTGTCTCTTATTGCTCTTCAGTTTTTTGTGTGTAGATAAATGTATGCTCGTATTTGTATCTACTATATTTTTCGCTGTCCCCATTTCGAGTTGCAGCTAAGCACGCAGCTAATTTGCCACAGCCATGCAAATTATAAGCTAATTAACATTGCCAAAGAAGTCGAATTTCCAGTGAAACTGCAGCTACTGCATGCAGGCAGTCTATTATTCGTTGACTTTTACTCCGCGCCCACGCCGCTTGGGAACTACATTGCAGACGAGTATAAATGCCAAATGCACAAACGAAATGTGAAATGAAATGAAAATTTCCTGCACCTTATTGGATTATTGTGATTTATAGCGTCGCGTAGCTTTCTCAATGAAGATGCAGAAATCCTACACCGTTGACTATTAGTTGGCATTAAAACCAGAAGCGCTTGGGTCTTTCACTCACCATTAGGCACACAGGTGTGCAAAATAAATTAAAGTCATTGCGCCTGGGCCGAGGCATCTGCATCCACACTCGGCCAACTCTGTGTGGCGTGCAACAAGTTGGCGCATCGCTTCTTTCAATTATGTGTACAATAAACAAAGACAAAGCACAGCCCATGATCAGCCAGACATGTAGACAGGCAGAAAACGTCTGCAGCAGCTGAAGGCCAGACTTCGCGCTTACTCGCACGTTATCGAAATAAATGCGAGGGAAGCCAATTGCCTGAAGATGCGCGCGCGCGTCTGCCCATTAAATGGTTATTTACTATTTGCAGGCAGTATCTCTTGTTTTGGCTCGAAATGCCTTTTCGTGCTCCTGGCGTTGGCGTTGGCGTTGCTGCTAATGTCTTCGACTGCCTTTTCTAAACTGTCAACCAGCCAGATAAACTACGACGGCATTGGCAGCCGTGCCGTGCCGTGTCACGTTTTCACTTTTCAACTTTCAAAGGTCATGCGCCTTCGGCTGCAGCTGCATGCAGGCGACTGAGGATTAGCGTGCCTGAAGGAGCCACAGTAGGTGTAGTCTATTGCTAGATTTGTCATCTCCGATGGTTGTCAGAGAAGCGCAACGGGGTGGTGCTTTTCTTTGCCTAAGTTCGTTGGTATGCAGTGAGCTTCAAAATCATTGAAATCATTGTTGTTGTGCATAGTTTTTCTTAGTCATTGTCATGGGACATTTGCATTCGAGCAAAAACATTTTTGGTTTCGCAAAACAAGAGTTCAAAGCCAAGGGCATTTGAAACAATAAATAAACGTGTTTGCTACAACACAGAAGCTACAGTAAATATTCACTAACAAATATATATACATACGTCTTTTAAAATGATTGCCTATAAAAGTGTCCAGAATTCGTGTAAACAGAATATAGTTAGTTTTAAAAGTAACTAAATCATCCGTCCCTAATTTAGTAACGTCAGCATCGCGTGCAGAACTTTTAAATTTTCTGAAGAAACGTCTAGAAAAAACGAAGTACAGTTTTGTATTTAAAGGAATATGCTACGGCCAAAATACAAATTTTTAGCTTACCTATTAGGCCTCTTAAAGTATTATACTGGTGGTTTAAAACTGATTCCATAGTTATACATATTTATTGCGAAGATATGAAGCTATTTTAGATCATTTCTGGTACTTTAGTACTTGTACTTTTGCAGAAATCGAGATTCCAAGTGCATGAATTATGAATATACAAAATATACAAAGTATGTTGTACAAAATATGTTGATTGTGAGAATTAAGTATGTAGGTTTAAGGGAGAAATCCATAATGCCAAAAAACAAAGAATCCAAAAGGTATGTGGTATAGTAGCTGGTACCGGCCATGTCTGTTCACATGAGTATGTTCATGTATGTTATACGTGAATACACTTATGATCAGCAAAGCATCATGAACCGAATCGATATAGCGATGGAAGATATAGTGGATATAGATGGAGATATAGTGACCAGAGGTTAAATAAGTCAGTAGTGATTTGAGAGTACAGACTAAAAAAGAAGAGTTTGGTAAATAGTCATTGAATATGGAATTACACTAGAGTAGTGTATAAGAGACCGACAAGGGTAGCTTTGGCGCATCCAATGATTTTCAAACATCAGTATGATAGGCCATCTGCATAAAAGTCTGTTGAATAAAAATGAACGAAATTTATTTAAGACGATTTATGAGAGGCAATTGTGTGGGCTTAAGGTGTTTTAATGCTCGATTATAGAATTAGTTATCTGTGTAAATTGAACAGAAATTAAATTAGCCAAGCTCTACTTTAAAGGCATACAAAGTCGCTCTAACGACAACCACTCAACTCGTATGTTTACATCAAGTGTGTAAGGTCTGCGACTGCACATAGATCAAGGCGAGGTACAAGTATGTTATTTTCCACGGCTATTTTACAACCACAAAGTTGTTGCTGTTGTTGCTCTTGGCTAACTGGCTACCTGTAAGACACGTTCCCGCACACTCATCAACTTCGTCAGCCTCATCAGCAAGAGTGAGGCGACGACATTTGCAGGTTGTTTGCCGCTTCACGCCTTGTTGGGCAGAGTTGCGACGACAGGGTACGGACGTCGAGGCTGATGTGGAGCCGATTATCTAAAGCTGTTGTAATAGGAAAACCAGTGACATGTCTTTGGGTGTGTTCCTCGGTGCTTATTTCTCTCTCTGTGTGTGTGTGTGCGTGTGTATGAGCACTTCTAAGCGTTTAATGACTTTATCATTTTATTATTGTTTATGCTTATGTTAATGGCTTTTACTTTCAGTGAAAAGGAAAAGTAAGATCTGTAAGTTTTGTTACCCAAGACTTTTGACCAGAATTATGCAGTAGGGCTCGCTCGAAAGCGTGCGATGTATAATAAAAATGACAATACTTTGTGGTTTCTCGTGTAGCAAATTAATATACCTTAATAGCTGTTGGAACCACTGACCGACCCCCGTTTCCCATCGTCGACTTTCCTTTCAGCACACGGCGAACAAAAATGAAAGCTGGCCGCTCGTTCCATTGCCTCTTCTGGGCGTTGCTCTATTGTGTGCTTTATTTGGTCAGCGCCAACGAGGATGAGCTGATGGACTTTGACTTTACGGACACCAAAAGCGGTGTTGCAGATTGGAATTATTTGGATGATGAGCTAAGCAGCCAACAGACGCAGGCAAAGCAGGACCAGCAAAAACTTGAATCAAACATGCTTGATTTTACGGTGGAAATGGAGGACGCCGATGCACAGAATAAAGTCCCGCCTTTTGACTGGCGTGAGAGAGCGTTGCGCTACGCTTTATCCAAGGCCCTAACGGATCGTGCACTGCGTCAGAAATTTGTCGAGGTGATGCCCATTCTACGTGTCCTTTCATCGCAGCAGCGTCTAGCCTTGTCAGCCTTGATATCGGCGCAAATGAACGCAAAGCATGGGCATGAGCTGAGGTTGGAGCAGGTAAAGTCGTTGTATTAGACCAGGTGGCGAGTTTTTAAATAAAAAATAAGGGAATATCTTAGCTTGATAAGCAGTCAAGTAAGCAAATCAAATGTTTAAAAACTGCATCGAATGAGAGACACTAAAATTACACATTAGGCGTATCCAATATACTACGAGTATGCCAGGCTTTGGATTGTTTACACAACAAAATTTATTACATTTTGTATACAGAGTGCGCCATCTTTTATGTCGGTATGTAAATATTGAATAACCTTGTCATTAGTGAACCGATTGACTTGAGTAGACCAGTGTTGAACACCTCAGTTCAAGAAATTGTACAGAACCAAATTAAATAAAAATATCTCATACTTGAAAATCGGAAAATTTTCAAAGATATTCAATGTTTACATACCGACATAAACCATGGCGCACCCTGTATATTTCTTAAAACTGCTGTGTATATAAGGCTTAAGAATAGTTACACATTCCGGAAGATCTTACTGATTACAACCGAATAATTGTGTCACATCTTAGCATGATAGATGGCTTTTATTTAATAACCAATGATATAAAGCTACAATACAAGTATAACTACTCGTAAAACAATGAGCAGGACTTTCGAGTTGTGTAGATATTTCGAAAACGTCTGCTGCAATTTCAAAATAAATTCAGATAAAGTTATAAGAAATGGTTTAAATGTAATAAAATTCCTCTTGTTTATTTAAATTATGAAAAATCACTCGTATGTAATAGAATTTATCCTAAATTGTAACCAAAAGCTTGAAGCAAGAAATTAGGACCCCATTCTAGACTAGATTTATTTCTATCAATTAGTACTCTATGTTCGGTAAAAAAAACTAATTTGCTTGAAAGCTAACAGAGATAAAGGAATACGGGATTTTCTAACATAGTGCAACAAAAATAGTAATTAATTTCTATCTGGATATGCAATCCTTTTAAAGGTACGCGTTATTGCTGTGTACTCTAAAACTGGCTGCAAAGCGGTTTCGAATGGATTGTTAAACAAAATTATAGATAATTAGCAATCATTCACATATCTCTTACTTAAATAGAAATCACGAGTACGGTTTCTTACTCAACCGTCCATCATCTTCTCAACGTTGGGAAGATCTTCGAAAGTGTTATGAAACATTGACTAATTATTTGATTTTCGCTGTAGGTCCGCATGATGTTTGGCGATGACAAAAAGCTACTACTGCCTATTGTCTACGATTTGGCGAATCTGGTGAAGAATTCAGCTCGCAAATATATCAATATGGGCAGTGACTTTGCTGCAGCGGCTCTGCTGCGGACTCCGATGCAGATACAAAAGCGCAAGCATGTGCTGACGGTCGAAGAACAGGCTGAAGAAGACGACACCATAGGCACCATAGCAGTAGATGCTGCGGCAAAGCCAGGCGAGGACGACTCCTCACTCGAGGACTTTTTTGATGAGATGCAGTCAGAGGTTTTGGATCCGCAGCTAATAAACGAAGCGCTTCAGGGCAATGTGTCCAAAAACTCCACAAACACTACGACTACACCCATGGCGTCAACGAGAAAAACTTCTTCGATGTCCAAAAGCCATGGCAAACGGGTACGTCGGGCCGCCAAATCAAGTGAGTTTGTGCACAAACTGACACGATCTGTGCCGCTGTCAGCCAATGAGGAGGATCTGCTCAGGGGAGCAGCAGGACGAACCATTCAACTGAATACGACAGCCTTTTTGCAACCGAGTGAGAACACCCGCCAGATTATGCCGACCAATGCGTCTACTGCCAGCAATAACTTGGAATCCTCGGCATCGACCTCAGCTTCCCAGCCCAGCACCCAGTCGTATGTGGAAGTCGAGGATCTCGCCTTCGCCGGCCTCAATGGCACTGAGTTGGAGTTGAATGCCAACGATCGAACCGATCAGGCTCAAGAAGAGCCTCTGCCTAGTCCTGAGGAGCTAATAGCCGGTCCTCGTTACCGCTTCAATAAAGTGCATGGAATGCGTCCTAGTCAAAAGGTTCCCATCAAGCGTAAGCGCCTGCAACCATCCTCTCGTGGTCGCCCTAAGCCCGCTGCAAGCTCCTACAGTCCAGCGGTGACGGCGGCCCCAAGGAAGTGCGAACGATTCACTAGCAACATGTGCATACGTACTGATGACTATCCCCTGTAAGACATTCTTCTTGATGCTTTGGTTGCCGGCTTTTTGGTTACCCACGCTCACGAATCTCATTTCTGGGTTCACATTAACCCTGGCACCTGGTGGAGTTTGGCTTTGAGCCATTTAGACGTAACTTACCGAAATTTTTTCTTAGCTTAAATAAATTTAATTCATTCAACTCACTTTGGAAACTTTTGCACATATGTAGTCTGTACCACCTACAAATAGTTTAGCGGTTGCGGTCGAGTTCTTTAGCGGTCTGAGGTCTGAGGTCTACTAATGCTCCAAGCGCAGCCATATAAGGCATACTCGTAAATGTTTAAGCAAACACTTTCAAATTTCAACTCGACACAGCGACCAGATCATGGGCAGCATTCGCAGGCACAAGAACGCCATGAGCGCACTGCTGGCGGAATTCTACGACAAGCCCAACAACAACGTGGAGTTTGGCGATGAATTCGATGATTACATTGGCAACAAAAAGCGGTGAGTTAATGCTTAAACGTGAATTGTGAATCCCTATAAGCTCCTAATCTTTTAGGGCACAAATATTTTTAAAGCAGATAATATGAAACGATTTCAATCTTTTATGCTTCAAATCGGTATGAAATCTTGTTCCATTTCTTGCTCTTTACCCATCTTACTTCATTTTTGATTTGATGTAAGATATGTTTGGTCATCGAGTATAACTTTAAAAAGTAAAAGTCCTGATGTTCTGAAATCACACGTTTGCGGGTTTCACACAACTTAACGATCTTCACTTTCACATTCACAGACGCGAGGATGAAGGCAGTGTGGGTGGCATGTGTCAGAGCATTGTGCGCTATGCTCGTCCACAGAAAGCAAAATCTGCATCTGGCGAATGGAAGTACATTGTCAACACGGGTCAGCACACACAGACATTGAGATTGGAAAAGTGTAGGTGAGTGCTCGCCAGTGTTTGCGGTGCACTTGAAATGTGGCACTCATAATTCCTTATTTTCTCTACTCCAATATTAAGCAATCCCGGCGAGAGCTGCTCCTATTTGGCGCAAACATATCGCTCGCACTGTTCGCAGGTCTACAACTACCATCGCTTGCTTAGCTGGGACAAGATACGAGGCTTGCATGTCGACATCTTCAAGGTACCCACTTGCTGTTCTTGTCAGGTCGATGGCTATCGCCAGCAATTTCCGCCACTTTCCTCACTACAAGCCAAGGACTTTACGCCCAGCTATAACATTGATAGCAATGGCTATAGTACCATTAACGAGGATGATCTGGATTACAATGAAGAAAGCGATGAAGACGATCTGGGAAGCTATAATCCCTTCAATAATGTCGGCGGTAATACTTTGGCGCATCGTGACACAAACGAACTATTTCTGAGCAGCAAGAAAGTGCGCTCAAAAGTACCAGCTCCGCCGACTGTAGGCGCCTATCTGAGTCCACCGGACGATGAGGAGATCTTCAGTGGCAGCAGCTATAAGGCTCACAAATCCCTCCCCAGCTCCACTTCCAGTTCGAAAAAGTACTACTCGCATCTGAACCGAAGACGTCCCCAGCACAATGAGCCGCGAGTCGACTTGGACTTGGCGCCTAGCGAGACACACTCCGATCAAGAGGTAAACGTATTTGGCCCAGCACTGGCCAACAGCGAAAAGCCGCGTGTGCCCCTCAATCGCAAACGTATTTATTCTGCCACCCATACAGCAGCAGGCGCAGCTGGAGGAGCTCGCGTGGGCGCCGGCGTCGGTGCACAGACCACAGCTGCCACCAGTTACCCGCTACCCGCCGGAGGAGGCGCTTCCAGTGCCGCCAGTGCCGCCCATGCCCATCAAACAGTCGTCGCACCTGTCACAGTTGCGACATCTAACATTGCCATCGGCGCGGGCAGCGGCTACATCCAGCGCAACTACGTTGGCACAGTTGGAAGCAAGTCGCGGCCCCGCTTCTATGCACCAGCCACATCGGCGACAACCGCCGCCGCCGCCGCAGCCGCAGCCTCAGGCACGATTCCAATCAGCAGTACAGCGACCTCATCACTACCGACGGAGTCCGGCGCATTTCAGCGGGCCACCCATCAGCAGAAGCAGCAACAGCAACAGCAACATCAGTCGACGGCACTACCACAGCCGCCACCCATCTACCATGTGAACTCCATCTACGGCAGCAGTGGTCACAATGGCACCAAGCGCATCAACTACAACTACCATCCCATAATTGACTTCTTCGAGAAGAACCGACGCAGTGAGACGACGTCGCGTCACAGCATCAACGACTTCAGTCCGGAGGAATCTCGACGCATTGAGCAGCGTATCTATCCAAATGGAATCACCTCTTCAGCACCCACTTCTAAATCTATTGGCAACGGAATGGGCATGGGCGCTGGCACTGCCACCTACCAGAGTGGTAATTCTCACGAGCGCAGAATCGGCTACGGTGCTGGTGCTGGTGGTGGTGGTGGTGGTGCGAGTGGTGCTGTGGGTGGTGCTGGGCTGGGCGGGTATGCCAATGACAATGCATGGCATCCTCTTGTCGTAGAGTCGTAAGCCTAACTATGTAGCCCAAGTGCATGTCTTCTACCAACTACCTTTAGCTGTGTTTTCTATTCCCTTTCTAACTTTTGAAACGTTCCTACGAAGCTCGAAACTTTCGAATTATATTTTCTGAATTTATTTATTTACGAATTATGGGCTTCGTATAAACGTTCTCATTCAAATTGTGTTCTATTTGATATCCCGTCTCGCTGTTTTAGTTTGCTTTCCTTATGCCTTGTTTGCAGTTTTGCCGTTGATCCTAGGAACTCACTCTTAAAATTTTCCAGTTTAAAACAAATTGAAGTAATTTTCTAACTATACCCGACTTCTTCTTAATAACCTGTACCTATTTATTTATTTATTTATTTATTTATTTATTAGTAGTGTGTAGTGAGGTGGCGACTTGCTGTAAAACTTTTTAAGTTGGGGGAAGTTGTCGTATTAATTTAAGCAATAAAATCTATTTATTCAAAAACCCGTCTTTGGATTTTAAACTTACAACAAGACCTCAAAATAAATTTTAAAATGTTTTGTGAGGTTTCAGAAATTAAAAAAATATAGTAACAATGTAAAGTACGTACTGCCTCTCTAAATCAATTAAATCGAACAAGAACTTGGTAAAAAACAACTTACAAAAATATATGCCTATTATAAAAATAAATATATCATATTCCCATGGCAGTTGAAGTAATCTGATTAAAATACGAGACGATTGTGGTAGCTACCTTCATAAGTATTATACAATTATATGATGGGCTTTAAAACTAAGGGACCAGTCTGAAAAAAACAGTCAGACGGTTAGACAGTCGAATGATTCGTCATGAAGATCGTTCATATACGTATAACATCCTTACAATATTTGTATACCTTGGAACGACAAAAATACCGATACCTAATTAAACCAAACAAACGAAATTCAATACTACACTATGCTGAGGCATAATATAGCAAACGGTGATACGAAAATATAGCCGTAAGAATGATGTTGTAGATATAGTAAGAGAAATGAATCTGAAACGGTTCGTAATCAAGTTACTTGTATCGCTTCTTTCTCTTGACTGGCTTTCTGGCTTATTTCTGCTTAGTTTCAATTATTTGACAGCCACTTTTTACTCTGTTTGTCAGTGTTTTATTCGTAAGTAAATAACACACAATCAAAAGAGATGAGCGAAAAAATAGCACCCGAAAATGCCAATGAAAGCGAATCACGTTTGCAAGATCTTCGCGGCTTGGACAATGCGCGAAAGAGCATCCATATCTGATCCAAGAAACACAAACAAGATGGATATCCTTTGTATAGACGAAGAAAAGTCGACGACGGCGGGCACACAACTATAATCAAGCATCTAATCGAAGGGGTATTGGAAAAGATGTGACGTCGGAAAGCTTAAAAGCACAATTCAGTTGCGCCGTAACGCAAGCTGGATCCGCTAGTTATAAATACAATTGTTAAAGCATTGTTGTTCAAAATTGTTTTTCTATTTTGTAATTTTAATTTTTAAAGAAACGGTTCATTAGATGCCAAGGCATCTTATTTTATTTCATAAAAAAGCCTTTGACAAGCTTTAGGCTGTTTGTTCCATTCCATATATGAGAGCTTTTTAGTTTCGTAGCAGGCAGCACTTTACTCGTTACTGCAAAGCGCGCAGTTTAAAATTGAAAGCAAAATGAAAAAACCGCAATTAAGGAAAAATATAAGATCACTTATGTATGTGTTTCTTCGAGAAATTTGCTGCAAAGTTAATTACAATTATAATGAAATATTATTTTTAGTCGAAAAAGAGACCTACATTTTATATAGCTAGTGTTTACGGCCACAGATAATATGTGTGTAGAGATCGGCTATATCAGTCAATTAATATGATTTAGAAAGAGTTTTTGTATGACAAAAGGTTTCGTTTATTAGACATGGAAACAAAGTTGATTATTTAAAATCGAAGTTTCTTTAAAGATGACAAAATACGAAAAAATTAAGGAATTCATTCTATAAAAAAAAAAAAAAAAATGGAAACACCGATTACTGTAGTTTGTATGTACATATATATTTATACAATAAAAATGAAGGAAGGGTATTTAGCTTCGGAGCAGACGAATATAGCTTTAAGTTTAGTTATGTTTATTGTCAGACTTTTATTCTTTATTTAGTTGTGTGTATAGTTCGTTTCTTTAATGTCTTCTTTGTTGTTACCTTTTTGTTCCATCTGCATCCTCTGCAGTGTTAGTCTCAATGGCGCAATCCGCTCAACTTCTAATTGTTTTGTCTATATTATCATTGGTTTGCTAATCAAATACTGCCAAATGAAATTCAAATGACGAAACAATATGAAGGTCATAAGCATTGCAGAAGCGTGTTTACACAGTCCTTTAAAATCGAGGTGGATTGGATTCTGAACGCAAAGCATTACGACTGGTCTGAAAAATACAATCAAACATCTGTCTCTACCTCAGATGATTTGGTACAATGTCACCAATGGTGCATTTGTTGTTTTTGTA